TTCGTAGAAAAGAATATTTTTAAGAAAAGGTAAACCGATATTTTAGTAAAAATATTATACGAAAAAATATTTTACTTATTACCTTATTATATATTTGATATTTATTATTTTATATTATATTATTATTTTGTATGAAATTTATTAATTTACTTGTTTTTTTTTAAACTTTACTTAAAATATATTATGATGCGTTACACGCGGGAAAAGCGCACGCTGATTCGCTCAATTGACATGCAATACGCAAAGATTAATGTTGTGATTGAGTAAAGCCGTTAATAGGCGCTGAGTTAAATCTGATTGCGATCACTTACTATGGTATGCCGTATTCATCCTTTTCGTCGCCGAAGACGCCATAATTTCCTATGAGTGGGTATGTAAGCACTAAAATCTGAGCGTGATAAGAAGGATCCGTAAGTGATTCCGGATAACCAATCATACCAGTCTGGAAGACTATAAAAAAATAATAATCTTTATATTCTCATATGCATTATTCACACAGTATATTTGTGATAAAATACAAATACAAAAAATATTGCATGATTAATTAAAGATTTTTATCATCATAATAATATATGAAGTGAAATCATTGCATAATTCAAACAAAATAGCCTTATTTAAAATTGATATTGTAGTACGTCTCAAGTAGCAAATTGATTATTTGTCATTTTAACGTCAAAATATTTATTGTTAGTATCTTATTAATTAAGATTGAATTGTTAATTTTTACGCGAACAATTTATTATATTGTGGATTTGGAATTTTCAATTAGTTTTTACAATTGTAATTTATAACGGTTACTATATTATATATACGTAAAATATAATAAATTATCAACCGTTAATAAAGCAGTCAAATAATAACTTTTATATTTAAAATCTGTATTATTTTTCTAGAATTAACGATTTGATAAAAATGTTGGACTATTGGCAACAGATTGTAACATATCAGCAAAAGATCAATCTTTGCTTGATCTTTCAATTAAAATTTATTCTTATATAAGGCATGTTAATTTTCTATATCTTCGTAAAGTAGTAACACGTGTATAAGCTTGAAAATTTTCCGCGCAATATAATCCGACGTTAGGACTTATAAGTGAGAATTTATTATACATGTGTGTGTATGAATGTGTATAAACTTCACATCAGCAAGTTTACATCAATTCGGAAGATTACTTTGGTATTTCTTTACATGACATATGATCTCAAATCACGTATCCGTTAAAGTAGATCAAATTAATAATGTACGAATATCAATAATAATTTATATTAAAATTGTAAAATATTTTAAGCTTATTTTAAGAGGGCATGTTTACTCCTTTTTTTCTTTTATCCGCTTCTACTTACAATTTATATTTAAATAAATATATTGATACTAAAATTTTAAATAAAGTATTCTAAGTATCTTGTAATTTAAAACTAGATTTGACCGACAGCGTCTATCTTACCATCCACAAGTTGCATTTGCAACGTAATCATTTAGACGGCTTATCACCGGTAGAAAGTAACACAAATATAAACCGGTAATAATGCTTCAGTTTCAAATAAATATAAAAAATAATGTTTAAAACACTGTTTCTCTCTCTCTCTCTCTCTCTCTCTCTCTCTCTCTCTCTCTCTCTCATTTACAATAAAGAGTTAACTTTCAACAAAATTTAAACAATGTAAAAAAATCTAAATAATTGTGCATGTCAGTATTCTTACTCAGTATCACAATTATTTTATTCAACATGTTTTGCACATAAAAATTATCCTTTAATATATGTATAAATCATGCGTAATATATGTGTAATTTATCAATAGACATGCATTTACTTAGAACATGATTTTTTATCGTTAAAACAACAATCTTGTAAACCAATATTAATTGATTAATTACTTTTCTCGAAAAAATTATCAAAATTTTAATTTTAGTTTCAAACTTTTAAACTTTTTAAAAGTGTATAATGAAACACACATGTAAAATAAAATTGACATAAAATTTTTTTTTGTTAAGAAAATTAGTTAAGGAAAAAAATATTTTAATAAAAAAAAAAGTTAAATTAAGAAGGAAAAACATTTCATATTAACGTCCCGCTCAATCGTAGCGAATCAATATTACGTTTTAAAAATCAATATCTAGTAGAAGATATGCTCTCTCTTCTAAAAATATCTTATATTATAAATAAATATATTTTTATCATATCTATAGACCTTTATATGCTGATAAGAAACAATTTAGCAATCTTCCATGCACAAATAATTACTTAATTGACGAACATTGTATCAATTCAGAAGCTACACTACTCGAGATACATAATTTTTGCGCATATTTAACATTAAGCAATGACGTTGTAAATATATCTCCGATGAATTACATACAAATATACTATATTTTCTTATTACGTGCGACCTATACAAAATAATACGATAATGTCACTCATAATATGTAAAAAATATCGACAGATCTGTATGATACAAATCATAGTGTGTCCCGTCTTATAATATTTTCATGCATAATGCTTTCCGGTTAGAGGAAGTTGGTCCGAGAAACAGAATGCACGTGCTCTCATACGGCTCCGATTCGTAACAGTACACGTGTTTCACATTTATATATGGACTCACCAATTTCACCATCGATGGATACGTCGGCACCGAAGCGTTTTCCCAAGAAAACACTACCATCTTCCAAAAGAAGATAACTATCGTTTGCGTCATTAGGCCCGGAAGACGCGTTGCTAGACATTTTGAATTTTTATTAGATTTTTCCCACGCATGTGCTACTGATGCACTGCGCGGATGTGAGCCGGTAGCACGCTTTTAGGCCATCGAGAGTTGGTCTTCTCCTACAAAGCGACATGTACGCTGTTAATGTATTAGTAAATGCGCATTGTACGACCAATTGGCGAGCAACGTTCCCGCTTTGTTGCGTGGAAGCTGCCAGGCAGGTCATGTGGAGAGGATTGCTGCTATATCATTGGACGCTTGAATGGTTGAGTATCGAACGCTTCATATACCGTTATATTGGCGGGAAGATTTCAAATCGATCTTTAAATTCTTGCTAATTCCAATTCTAATTTATAATTTTAGCTTAAAAAAGCTTGTAAACAATTACAGAAAGTAATTAATTTTTTTAATGTAATGGAATATCTTTATGTACAATCGCAAAATATTAAGCAATTAGAAATGTATTATATTAAGTATATCAATTAAAAATTGAAAAAAGCCAAAGATTAAATCAATAAAAGAATATAATGCCAATAAGAGACGACACATATGCAATAAAATATAATATATATGTTAATCACCAATTACAGACGTAATTGGTGATTAACATATATATTTCGATCACAAGATTCGGACCTCTTCAGTATGTCAATAACATTTTTTGGAGTCAATTTAAATCGTTGTGTAAAGATAGAACAAATACAGTTAATGAATTATCATTAAACTGTCGTCCAAATTTAAGAATTTCATAGTTGTCTGTCGTTGACTGAATACTCAAACAAGAATTCCATCATTTAGCTAAAATTGTGTTAATATTAATTGAAATTTTTAAGTA